ACTACTACTACTACTACTACTACTACTACTACTACTACTACTACTTCGACTACTACTACGACTACTACTACGACGACTACGGCCACTACTACTACTACTACTACTACTACTACTACTACTGCTACTACCTCCACTACTACTACTACTACTACTACTCCTACTACTACTACTACTACTACTACTACTACTACTACTACTACTACTACTACTACTACTACTACTACTACTACTACTACTACTACTACTACTACTACTACTACTACTACTACTACTACTACTACTACTACTACTACTACTACTACTACTACTACTACTACTACTACTACTACTACTACTACTACTACTACTACTACTACTACTACTACTACTACTACTACTACTACTACTACTACTACTACTACTACTACTACTACTACTACTACTACTACTACTACTACTACTACTACTAGTACTACTACGATTACGACTGCGACTACGACTACGACTACGACTACGACTACTACTACTACTACTACTACTACTACTATTTCTACGACTACTACTACTACTACTACTACGACGACGACGACGACGACGACGACGACTACTACTACGATTACTACTATTACTACCCACTCTTCCTCCTCCTCAATTTCTTTTGCAAGTAATCCTCCTTCTCATCCTCCGCATCCTCATCCTCCTGCTGTTCTTTCTCCTTCTCCTCCTCCTCCTCATGCTCCATTTTCTTTCCAACTCCTCCAATTATTTCTCTTCCTCCACCTCCTTCTCGTCCTGCTCATCCCCATCCTCGACCTGGCATCATGACTGGGGCCCGCGCTGAGATTGATGCCGCGCAGACCAGCCGCGCGGAGGTGCGGCAGGAACTTCTTCAGACTGCGGGCCGCAGCAGCGCCCCCGGCTCGCACACTGCCAATCAAGCTGCGTGCGCGCAACACCGAAATTTACTGGTCAAGGCAAGAAGCCATACGCCAGTTTGCGCGTGGGCCACAGAACACGTCGCAATGTTCAACTGTGAAGCAGAAGAACAGGGCGCGCCACGACTGTGAAGCAGAAGATGCACGAGCACAGGGGGAGGGGGAGCTGGAAAAAGTACGCATGCAAGTGTAAGCCACTTGTTGCCAATCGGCGTTGGGCTGTTTTCGGCGGTCTTCGGCGGCCTTCTGCAAGTTTTCGGCGGTCCTCTGACGGTCTTTGGAAATATTCGGTAGTCTTCGGCGGTTCCCAGCGGACTTCGGCAGTTTCCGACGGGTGGTCTTCGGCGGGCAAGCCAAGTGGAGCGTTCAAAACGGGGTCCATAATCGAGTGCCCAAAAGAGGGGAGGGTACTAATTCCATCATGGAGGAGGTCGCCAAGGCAAGATTAGCCGCCTGGCGAAAGACCCAACCATACGCAGTTGTGAATACCGCAATTGTGGATACCGCCTTCGCCAGCGTTCCCTGAGGGGTGTGCCGAAATGGCCCGAGGCAGCCATGCGAACCCTGCCACTGGCCTCTTCGGTGGAGCTCCCTTATGGGGCCACGATCCTCGTGAGGGGTTTTCCGAAATGGCCCGAGGCCGCCATGCAAACCCTGCCCCTGGGGCCTTCGGTGGAGCTCCTATAGAGCCACGAAACGTGTGAGGGGTGTGCCAAAATCGCCCGTGGCCGCCATGCGAACACTGCCACTGGCGCCGTCGGTGGAGCTCCCTATGGGGCCACGAAACGTGTGAGGGGTGTGCCAAAATGGAACGGGGCCGCCATGCCAGCTGCGCCACTGGGGCCTTCGGTGAAGCTCCCTTGCGGGGCCACGAAACGTGTGAGGGGTGTGCCTACATGGGGCGTGGCCGCCATGCGAGCTGCGCCACTGGGCCATAGGTGGAGCTCCATATGGGGCCACGAAACGTGTGAGGGGGGTGCCAAAGTGGGGCGGGGCCGCCATGCCAACTGCGCCACTAGGACCTTCAGTGGAGCTCCCTATAGGGCCACGAAACGTATGAGGGGTGTGCCAAAATATGGCGTGGCCGCCATGCGAGCTGCGCCATTGGGACCACAGGTGGAGCTCTGCCACTGGCGCCTTCGGTAGGGCCACGATCCTCGTGAGGGGTGTGCCAAAACGGCCCGAGGCCGCCATGCGAACCCTGCCACTGGCGCCTTCGGTGGAACTCATATGGGACCCCGATCCTCGCGAGGGGTGTGCCGAGATGGCCCGAGGCCGCCATGCGAAACCTGCCACTGGGGCCTTCGGTGGAGCTTCCCATGAGGCCACGATCCTCGTGAGGGGTGCGCCGAAATGGCCCGAGGCCGCCATGCGAATTTTGCTACTGGCGCCTTCAGTGGAGCTCCTATGGGGCCACGATCCCCGTGAGGGGTGTGCCGACATGGCCCGAGGCCGCCATGCGAACTTTGCCACTAGCGCCTTCGGTGGAGCTCCCTTGTGGGGCCACGAAACGTGTGAGGGGTGTGCCGAAATGGCCCGAGGCCGCCATGCGAACTTTGCTACTGGCGCCTTCGGTGGAGCTCATATGGGGCCACGATCCTCGGGAGGGGTGTGCCGAAATGGCCCGAGGCCGCCATGCGAACTTTGCTACTGGCGCCTTCGGTGAAGCTCCTATGGGGCCACGACCCTCGTGAGAGGTGCCAAAATGGGGTGTACCTAAATGGGGCGGTGCCGAGATCGGTGATGATGATGATGATGATGATGATGATGATGATGATGATGATGATGATGATGATGATGATGATGATGATGATGATGATGATGATGATGATGGTGATGATGATAATGGTGATGATGATTATGATTACTATGATTATTAGTTTGATGCTGATAATGATGATGATAATGATGACGACGATGATGATGATGATGGTGATGATGATGATGACGATGATGATGATGATGATGATGATGATGATGATGATGATGATGATGATGATGATGATGATGATGATGATGATGATGATGATGATGATGATGATGATGGATGCGAGGAGGAGGGAGGGGGCAGCGGGAGGAGGAAAGAACGCGGGGCGCTGTCTCTTCAAAACGAGGACCCAACACCATAGGATGGTTGGGAAATATGGCGGGGCCGCCATGCGAGTTCCGCCACTGGGACCTTCGGTGGAGCTCCCTATGGAACCACGAAACGTGTGAGAGGTGTGCCGACAAGGGTGGTGGGGACGATGATGATGATGATGATGATGATGATGATGATGATGATGATGATGATGATGATGACGATGAAGATGATGTGGATAAGGATGATGCTGCGGATGATGATACTGATGGATGATGGGTGATGGTGATGATGGTGACGACGATGTAGATGATGGGGAGAGGGAGGGGGGACAGCTGGAGGAGAAGGAAGGAAGGAGGACGCGGGCGCTGTCTCTTCAAAACGAGGACCCAACACCACAGGATGGTTGGGAAAAAACAAAAAAAGGGAAACTGGCCAGGGCTGGCAAAGGCGGAAAGGCTGGCCCCAGCCTCTCTCTCTACGGCTCCCCTGTACAGATCGAATGGAGCTCCGCATCAAACACGAAACGCACGGCTCGATCGGGCTGCCTCGCTTGGACACGCGACCCACACTGAAATCGACCAGCAACGAGTGTGACCAGGCGCATAGATCGAAGTAGGGCCGCCCTTCATTCCGCCTGCAGTCAACCAGTATAGTAAGGATGCGTGGTACGGTAAGGATGCAAGGGCCTTGGAAAGCCACGTTGACGTTTTTCGAGTGGGCTGGCCAGCGAAAGTTGCCAGGGATGGGCCGAAGGGGCAAGGATGCAAGGGTAACCTTGGAAAATAACTCACCACATGCTATGCGGGTTGACGGAAGTACCCCCACTGCTGCAAAGACGGAGCGAGCCCTGGGAGCCAGGGAACGAGCCCACGAGACCGGCAGAGAGAAGCACGTGCGCGCGGGCCCGGTGCTCGACGCCCGGCCCCGCTCGCAGGGGCCGAGGGCGCGGGAATGCGAAGGCGTGGGGCCCCCCGAAGGGGGCCCGCAGACCTGGCCGTGGTCGGATGGCTCCCCCCAAACGCCGACCGCGGCATCCCCCGCGCGAGCTCCATCGACCGAGACCTCGGCGAGCGCCAAAAGTGCGGGAGCGATAAGGCGAAGGCAGGACGAGGCTAAAGTCGGGTGGGGACAACTCGAAGAGCTCTGAGACGCCGCGGCCCTGGAGAATGCCTCGGGCGCCGCAGCTCTCTCGGAGCGCTCCGGAACGCTCTGCGAAACGGACCTGCCCTCGCCCTGGCCCCGCCCGACGCCAACTTGCGGGAGCGAGCCCACGGAACGCAGCCGACGACCGCGCTCCGAGGACACATCATGGCAAAGAAAGCGGCCTCGATGGGCCATAAACCAGGGGCCTCCTCCTCCTCCTCCTCCTCCTCCTCCTCCTCCTCCTCCTCCTCCTCCTCCTCCTCCTCCTCCTCCTCCTCCTCCTCCTCCTCCTCCTCCTCCTCCTCCTCCTCCTCCATTTCTCCTGCGTTTGCGCCGATCAAGGGGCGAGGCCTGCCGGAGCAGCCGCGAGGTCGCCCGGCGGGGCGGGCCGCGCAGCCAGCGCAGCGAGGCAGCGGCGGGGGGTAGCACCAGAGCGAGGCGGCGAGGCGGCGGGGGGAAGACTCTGGGGGTCAGGAAAAAGCGAAGTCCAGACCTGTGTTGCTCCCATCGTACTTAAGGACCACATCCCAGAAAGAATTTCGAGCACCCAGAAAGGCATCGAAACAGTGTCGAGCGAGTATCGCCTCCCAGGGCCCGACGCGTGAAAACCCTCCAGATCCAGTACTTTCTTGGTGCTCGAAATCCTTTCTGGTGATCAAGGCTAAAGTAGGTTGGAACATCATAACTCCAAGGATCAGGAAAAGGCGAAGTCCAGACGGACTAGGCCCAGACTTAAGTCGGGTGTGTCCCTCTACAGGAGGAGTGAGTATTCAGAAATAGTTTTCAAAAATAGTCTGGGGACGATCTTTTGATCATGTATTGACTACTTGGGGGTATCATTTGGCTTTTTTGATTATTCGTCCAGAGTCCGCCTGTACAACGACATGCCCGGCCTAAGCCCAGACGGAGGCCGAGCACTCCGTGCGGAGATACTCCGCACGGACTTAGCCTCCTACCAGAAAGAGGCTACGTCCAGACGGGACAAATCCAAGCGGAGGCGGAGCACTCCATGCGGACTTACTCCGCATGGACTTGGCATCCTCCGACGGGGGGCGCTCGTGAGCGACGGGCGCGCCCGTTGCCATGCCTTCGCTGTCTGGAGGCCGAGGCGCAGTCCCGTGGACACGGCAGGCTCTTGTTGTGGCGACGTCTGCGCCGGTTTCTGACACCGCGCGGATCCTTCGACCCTGAGCAGTCGGGCGTTCACGACTGCGCAGATCGTCCGATGTCGGCCGATTCCGAGCCACGGGCGGCGCTCCACCTGGAAAGCCCGCGCCGCAATCGCCGCCACGTCGACACGGCACGGACCGAACAATCTGCGCAGGGCGCCTGCGCAAAGCCGCCCGGGGCCCGTGCCATCGCGGCCAGGGCCCGCGCCGGAGGTCGCCGCCGCGGCGTCGACACGGCACGACGCCTACCGCAAGGCATCTGCGCAGCGCAAGGCATCTGCGCAAAGCCGCCCTGGGCCCGTGCGGTCGTGGCCAGGGCGTCCGGGCCGCGGGGCCGCGAGGCCGTGGGCGTGGTCCCCGACGGCGGGGCGCGTGGGGCAGCGGGCATACAGCTGGAACGGGGCCCCGCAGCGACGGGGCACGGGAGGCGGCGAGAAAACGACTCGGGCAGCGAGAGGCCAGGGAACGGATCTGGCCGCGAGCGCGCCGAGGTGCCGAGGCAGAGAACCAATGAGTACACTGCGCTTCGGGCAAAGAGCGCCAAACGCGCCAGAGGGGGAGGGC